GGAAGAGGAGCAGTGGTGGGGGTTGGGCCATGGCAATGGGGTACAACTTTGGCCTAGTGGGAAGAGATGAGGACAGCATGCCCTCCCCCCCCACTTCTCCATCCATTATTCCTTGTGCTACTGGCAGCATGGCTGATGTGGGGGGTCTTGGTGGCAGCAGCAGCAAGTCTTGCTGCCCTGCTCTCTCCTACCTGCTGGGCTGCAGAGGCCAGCCAGGTAGGCCAGTCCTGCTCATGCCAGTCCAGCTAGGCTGCAGCCAGTGTCCCCTGGATGCACAAATCTGGAGGGGGGGGTTCATTTTCCCTCATACCCTCCCAATTGTCCCACACACTGGAGGGCTGTGTCCCAGGGGTGGGGGCAGAAGGCACTAGGTTGAGTATGGGGCACTGGCATGCACAAGAGGTTGTTTTCTGCTTAAACTATTTACTGGGTTGGGACTGGCCACTGATGTTTACAAATAGGCCCTGGTACAAAAAAAGGCTGAGAATCACTGGCCTAAGGTACAGGGTTGCTGCTTAAAAATCACTGCTTAACCCAGTCCTAAAATATTAGACACTGGGTTGTGCAAAAGTCAGTCTCACTTGCTTTGTCTGAGGGCTGTTATTTAACAATGGCATCAGTCTCTCTCATCCAGTTGTATGATGCTTCTGCATATTCAGCTGAACTCTTATTCATTAATACCAATGCAGTTCTAGGTGGGTACAGTTCATGTGGAATGAGAAGCTGACATTCTTGCTGCTGCTACTTGGGTAATAAGTTCAAAACTCATGCTAACAAAAAGTGTGATCTTCATGCCTTTTTTTTTTTCTCCAGATAGTTCAGGTTAATAAGCCTATTCAAGCATTTCATTGTGTATTGAATACTCTTCAACTTATCCTCTCCCCCCACAAAACCCTTATTAGCAAGGGAAAACGTTATGCATATATACTAGTGTGTTGATGCAGGGGTGTCAAAAGATTGAGTCTGCAGAGTTGATCCACATGGCAGGGGCTGGACTGGCCCTGCCTGACAAGGCCTTGGGCCTGTGCTGGAGGTCCCAGATTGACATGATTAGGTAAAAAGGGAAGATTACTATGCAGGTTTCCCTCACTTTATGTTGTGCTGTTTTCCCGGAACACATACAACTCAAATTTGCATAAAGGGAACCCACTTTACGAAGTAACAAATAGGGGTATGTTCTAAGAACGTAACTGTATTGACTCCCAGACCCATTTCTACCACTTTTACAAGACAATTTTGGTACTTGCCAACAGCAGACAGTACACACAAGCACAGGGTGGTGGTGAATGTTTAGTTGGTGTGAAGAGAATGTGGTGAAGGCTTCATTGATGGACCAGGGAGAGGGTTAGGAAATAAGCTAGTGGGGTGCTTAGAAGCCAAAATGGGGATGGCGACTACAGAAGTGCGTAGCAGACAAGGAGTGAGGAGCACAGATCCATACAGGAGACTATATTTTGGTGCGTGTCACTCCCATGATGCACCACACAATGCAGCCGACTGCAGGTTTCCACCACACTGATTGTATAAGAGTGAATTTACCTCGCATATAACGAATTTTTGGTATAAAAAGGGTCATCAAAAGTGCAAATTCGCACATAAAAAACCTGCATAAAGCAAGGAAAACCTGTACAGCATAAACACATGCATTACTGGGGAAATCAGAAATGGCACCCAAATCTGAATAGCTAGCTCCACGGTGGCCAAACTGTGGCTCACGAGCCACATGCAGCTCACTGGCACAATACTTGTGGCTCCCCAGAAATTGGCCAATGCTCCACTCACTTTTCCCTGAGGCGACTCCGGAGGACAGTGCAGCCCAGCACCTCCCACCACTCTGGCTTTCCCCCGCAGGGTGCACTCCCTCCTCTCCCTGCAGGGCTGTCAGCTCAGGTGCTGGGCTGCAGCTGTGACACTTACCCTGGGGCATGCTCCCTGCAGGGAAAGCTAAAGCGGGGGTGGGGGGGTGTTTGTCCGTCACCTCCACTCCAAATTGCTTAGCACCATCCCCCTCCTCCCCCTCAAGCTCTTGAACTTCAGTGAAGGATCAGATGTGGCTCCCACGGTGAGCAACCTCAGCCCAACCCTGAGCTAGCTGTTCAGCTCTTCCAACACACCATATTTGTGTTTAATAGACCCGAGTTTTTAAAACATGCTATTTTTGTTCTGAAATGCATAGCCCCAAATACTAAGAAGTTAAATGCACCACTCATTTTATGCTTGATAAACCATGTTTAGGTAGGAAGATTTCAACTCACCTCAGGCTCTCATTTCTTTCTGGGCACGTCAGTTTTGCAAATCTAATGAGGTAGTCTAGTTCTTTAGAAGGCAAATATATTGCACCATTCAAGCCACCTTTGAAGTCTTTCTGAACATGCTCTTGAGTAAAGTTCTGCAGCACATACTGGACCTGCAGAATTGTGCGCAGCTTCTTCTTCTCTGCTTCAAGTTTTACTAGGTTCTCCCGTCTCTGAGCCTTCCTCTGCGCTTTCAGCAGCTGTTATATTGCAAGAGTAAGTTAGTCAACTGAAGAGGCTACGACAACTGAATGGGTAATGAAACTACAAGTTATGAACTATGGACCATATTCAAGAGGAGATTAGATGCCTACTGAGACTTAGGAAAAACCTTGAGCAAGTTAAACTTGAATCTCCAGGCACCTATATGCTTTTGAACCAGTCTCTCCCAGCTCTAAGTCTGTATTTAAATAGAAATTTAGAAATGGCTAGAACTTGAAGCTTATGCCTCCTTTAAGGAGATATTTAACTAAGATGCCCATGTTTGTAAGTTAGGAAGGTTAGCAGTTAGGTACTCCTCCATTATTTCAACATTATCAATTCTATAGATTACTTAATGAATTATTCACAATTTCCCCACAGCATGTTCATCCTTTTTAGCTAGGCTTTAAACATTTACATTACATGCTTAACAAGGAATTCTGTACATGCTACACAAGGGATGCAAGTGTCACATAAGGAAGTTTTTCCCAATTGTAAAACATGTTTCACTTACAAACTCCTCAAGGATCGTGTGTATCCACTGTCAGGATACACAAGGAGTAATTATAGAGTAATGGTATAAACAGGGAACTCAGAACTCCTGTTACTTTAAGGGGAGAAACTGCAGCAACTAAAGCCCAAACAGCTTAACAGGGACCAGCTGCAAGAGGGAAGGCCGCAAGGAGACACTGCTACCTAAGCAGCAAGGGGCTTATCAAGGTAAAGAGCACACCTAAAGCCAGCCTAGGGAAGTCACACAACTGGAAGGGGGAAGGGCTTAACACACACAAGCTCAGAGACTGAGCCTACACAGTGGCCCTGGAGGCTGCAGAGTAAGCAGCTCCAAAGCATGAGGGTCCAGGAGAGCTGCTAGCTGGCACTGATGCTACCTTGAGGGAGACAAACAATGCTCCTGCCTTGCAGAGCAATGTGACCCAGGATAAGGGGAAGCCCTGTTGTACAGCCAGGCAGCCACTGGTTATGTTTGACCCAGAGCAATTGTTATAGCCAGAGGACTTATTCCTTGGTTATAGTTTATACCCATGGTTTGCAATTGGGACAAGAGTTGGTAGACGTCCCAGCTGTACATGACAGCATAAAAGAGTGCCTGAAGTCCTGCCATGGATTAGGGCCTCAAGACAAAGACCTGGCTTGAGCTTTATAGGATTGCCGCCTAGGGGTGGACTGCAGCCAAACAACTCAAGCCAGATAGGGCCAGGGGGCCCAGACAGCCAAAACAGACTTAGTGCCCAAACCAGGGAGGCCAAGACAGCCGAGAGCAGGCTCACTGCCCAGAGCAGAGCCGAAGTAGGGCCAGAGCGCCCAGATGGAGCCAAAGCAGGTAAAACAGGGCAGAGACCATCAAGATAAGAGCTTGTGCCCAGAAGCCACATCTAGTACTTTGGGCCTGGGCTAGAAGGCCCAGCTACAGAAAAGGGTCAGGGGCTTAGCCTTCTCAGCCTCTGCCAAGAGAGCTATTGTACAACCACATGTGTGAGGCATGGGCACGGTTGTAGGGGAGCTTCAGAGGCCATGAACAGCCCTTAAATCTACAAGTAACCTGAGACATACGAGCAAGGCAAGAGGGCCCACAAGCAAGCCAAGAGGTCCCAAAAGTATGACTAAGACCCATGAAGTCTGGGTGGGACCTGCTGGCTGTCAGAAGAACCGAGGGCTCACTTTAGGACCCTTAGGCAGCCTCCCTTTCTAACATCAATAGTTACATCAAGGTATAACAGGTGAGAAGGAAAGAATACACTAGAGGCAAAGCAGGGCACTGGTTGCATGGCCACCAGGGGGTTTCACAGCCACCCTTGTGGACTAGCACTTGCTACACTTTGTTAGCACAAACAACTACAGCATTTTATTCAAACACATGGTCATGAGAGGTTTAGGTAATATCCAAGGCTCCTATTTATTGGATAGCAAAGCTCTTCCACCAACCTGGCAAACCAACATCCAGCTATACTGCAAGAATTCTCAGTTAGTAAAAATGAACCAAGATAAATGTAAGGAATTTGTTTAAAAAGCAGTATTTTTAGAGATGTTTTTGCCTGTAGTAGAAAAGGAACACTACCCTGCATACACTTTTGGGGGGGGGGGGGGGGGAGAAAGAGATCCTCCTGCATCCAGTAGTTTTTAAACATTAAAAAAAAAAAAAAGTTGCAGCTTTTTGCAGAATCCAAGAAACAACCAACTAACAAACCAACCAACCCACCCAGTCTCCGATTGTGCTACAAGCTAAAGAACAACACAGCCAGGTTAAAATCTATAATACTACGTACTTTCTAGAGGTAAACTGGAAGAAAGTAACAGCAGTTCATATTCTTACAACATGAAAGCCCTCAACAGCAAGAACAAAAATTCTTGATGGGAAGATCTATATTGTAAGGAGGAGATCTGATACAGACAGGTACAACACTTCCAACAGTATGACATGCTTAATTTACTGCAACAGCTACCAAGATTTAGTTTTAAGAAGGGGTCTCATCCTGCTCTCAATTTATTTTAATCCCAAAGCTAGTGGGAAAGACAAGAACTTTGAACTGGAAAACAGAACTCAGTAGTACAAGTGCAAAAATGTGTCTCTAACTGGAATGATTTGGGCCCAGACAACACCCATTTGAAATGGTCCTGTATTTTAAAGGAAGGGAGAAAGTGGTAGAGTAATAATACCTAATCAACTCTACTCTCACAGGCCATGGAAGGTGTTCCTATAGAACTCAAGTTCCAAACCTCCTGTCAAAAGGATGGTTATTCTACAGATTGACTTAACAGACCCAGATCAGAACATGCTTAAAAACCTGCTGAGATTCACTGCATTTTGTACACAGTGCATCTGGTTAGTAGTTTTGTGGGATTCCACATGCTCCAAAATCATTCTTCTTCATGTTCTAGCTATGGAACATGTTTAACTCAAATTGTCTTGTACTTTAACCACATTTTCACTATTGCAAACAACATTTCAGATTCTCAGAAAAAACTGTAAAGCCATTCTACTGTTCTGCATACTGGAGTCATTTAAGACTACATTCCAAAATGATCTACAAATCAGGACCATCAGCTTCACCTTCTCAGATTAACATGCTGCTGTTATACAAAAACGTCTGAAACGGTAGGTTTAAAAAAAAAAAAAATGTAACTGGTTGAGCAACTAAAGCAAATTATACTTACATCCTGGCTAAGTCCAGAAAAAGTCTTCTGAAGCTCTTTGGCAAACTCCAGGTTGTGCACTACTTCATCATACTTCTCCACTGCCTCCTACAAGTAGGTAAATACAGGTTAAGTGCACTGCTTGCTTTGTAACTTGAATCCGTTACTTCAAAAGTTCTCAGAAGACTATTGATTACAACTGTTAATACCATAAAGCTAAGTTATACAGCTTTTGTTATATGCTCTTAAAAGAAAAAATAATTTAACTAACTTAATTAAAAACCTATTATTTCCATCCTCAAACAAAGTGAAGACTTGAATTCCAAGTCGATTCATATTGGGAGACAATGGTTTAAGACACACAAGCTGCTTGCAGAGATTAAGAAACAAAACAAAATACAGAAGTGCAGCAGCATGTTAGTTTCAACCCAGCTCTGCAGCACCTGTATAGATTGAGCAGTTCAGTGGGGCTTTTTGGCACTTTTATTTAAAGCTGTCATCCAGCTACTAGGTAAAAGCACCCCACTAAAGTACCCAATCTATACAGACATTAGGCAAACCACAGGCTTAGTATACTGTAAATGAGTTTAATGAAAAAAATTAAACATCCATTTTAAAATTCCATGAGAACTTTGGAAGTAGTTATTCCTAAAACATTTCCCACTGACATCCTCTTGGTTTTAACTGAGAACCCAAAGCAGGTGAAGTGTGAAATTAACTCTATTTTACATTATGTGATTGAAAGGATGTTATCAGAACAGCATAACAAGCTATAGCATGTGAACTAGGAGCTTTAGATTTTAGGTGTTCTCTCTTTAGTCTCAAAATCTGATGGCCAAGAACATAAGTACATATGATCCTAAATCTAATACATACTTATTTGCCTAAGTTTGAGAACAGGCTTCAGTTGTCCCTCTAGTCACATTGACAAATCAGAGCTTATGAATGACAGTTTAAGAACACAAAACTTGTGATGCAAGTTAATCGTAACATGCAGGCAAAATTTGAAGGGGTGAGGGCAGGGCAGGGCAGAGGTGAGCCAGTCACATCTGGAGTGGCCCTGCATCCCCCACCCCCCCGACAGTAGGAGCTCAGCTAGAGAAGCCACATGACTGCAAGAGCCAGGTGCCAGGATACTGCAGAAGCAGCTGTGCCACCTGACCCTAGAAGTCAAACAGGAACAGCACCATGCCATCCAGATATAATAGGGTCTTTCCTGCACTGGCTATTCAAAAACCCCTGCTGCTCCTGCCATGTTGCCCTGCCCCCTGGCTGCCATCTTGTGACTAGAAGTCCTGCCTCCTAACCCTTGACCTTTGCCCCCAGAAGGCAAAACCCCTTGCTGAAAGGAGTACTTCCAGGGGCAAGGAGAAGGACATCTTGGAACCAGAAAAATACCAAATTAAATTCTAAAAAGCAAAAGTTAAATTAACAGAAGTTGTAGATGTAAAAAAAAAAAAAAAAAAAAAAAAAAAAAAAAAAAAAAAAAAAAAAAAAAAAAAAAAAAAAAAAAAAAAAAAAAAAAAAAAAAAAAAAAAAAAAAAAAAAAAAAAAAAAAAAAAAAAAAAAAAAAAAAAAAAAAAAAAAAAAAAAAAAAAAAAAAAAAAAAAAAAAAAAAAAAAAAAAAAAAAAAAAAAAAAAAAAAAAAAAAAAAAAAAAAAAAAAAAAAAAAAAAAAAAATACATTTGTCATGGTTTACATGCATTTGTATAGTGTACATAGAGGTGATTGTATACAATAACTTAAAACTAGGTCTTACTCATATGTTGTGTGGGAGGTGGGTATAGATCTGCAGGTATGGCTGTGTGAGGGGGGTCTGCGTGTATGGCTCCCCCTATGAACACAGTCCCTGCTCCCCCACCCCCTGCCACAGCCCCATGCTCCTGTGTCCAGAGATGCAGCCGGGAGCCACGTGGTACTGCAGCAGTAGAGGGGCAGGAAGGCAGGAAAATAGCTGCAGGTGGTAAAGGGCTGGGCTACTGTGTCCTGCTGATGGCTTCCCCTGGGTCCTACTACCCCTGGCTTCTGTCACCTTTGGCAGGTAGTCAGAAACAGATAAATATTTTCTAAATTTTTTTAAGGTCCCCGCAGGCCAGATAGAGTGGCCTGGTGGGCTGGATCCAGTCCATGGGCCATATTTTGCCCACCCCTGATATAACAGGTCAGTGTTCATGGAAGTGTCTTTTAACTAAAACATGGTTGGGGGGGGAGGTACTGAACCTTCCACGCTGGTGTAGCTTTTAAAAAAAAAATGGACTCTACTTTTTTCAATTTAGTTTGCAGAGAGTTTGGTTTCACTTGTCTAGTCTTCAGATTCAGTGCTGCCATATGCAAGATCAAAAACAGGAAAGCAGCGTCTGCTATCCCCCATCTAGATAGCCTCTTGCTTATCAGAACTACTCAAAAATCTACTACAGATGTCTCCTACAGGAGTAAGCAAGAAGAGCTATGGTTCTGCAAGAGCCAAAACTTGTTCAAGGTCCCACTAGGCCCAGTGGAAACAGAGGATACTCAACAAATCCTGGAATCTAACTCATTAGCATTAATTCCTATCAAACTTCCAATTCAGAGATCTACATTTCTTTCTACTGATGAGATTTTTATCAATTTAGTTTAATCACAAAAAATCAGAGATGAGGCAGATGTAGAAGCAGTAGTGGTATCTAGGCATACCAGTCCCAATTACTGGTGCATGCTAGATGGCCATTTATTCTAGCACAGTGCTTCTCAACCCATGGGTTACAACCTAAAAGTGGGTCACAAGAATATATGAAAGGGTAGCAGACAAACTTTACAGCTTGTTAGTCTACTTTTAAAGGAAAATCCATTTTTAAAGGAGAAGCACGTGGGAAACTGTCAGGAGTAAGGGGTGCTGGGTCAGGACTGGCTGTTGATGTTTACAAGTGGGCCGTTGGTACAAGAAAAGGTTGAGAACCACTGCTCTAGCAGACCTAAACCATGAAGCAAGCAAGCTACACGTCCTTATCCCCTCACCTTCCAGTTATTGCTTGTCCTGAAGTACATTCAATTGAGAACAAGAACTATGTGTTGACAGTGCAATATACAGTGGACACACTGGAATAGAAAGTGTTCTTAAAACCACAATACTTAGAAGTGGGAGCCACGCAGCAGTTTAGTAATAGTAACCACTGACATGAAGGCTGACAGTGCCAGTGCCTGTCACACTGATATATTTTAAAGGATATTTGATAAATAGCAGTGTACTACACAAGAATGATTTTGAACCATACAACCATACAACTAGCATAAGCCAGAAGATCTAGTTTAAGCCCTGAATTGTGACATTCCCCTTACTCTTACCCCACTGCATTATACAAAATTAAAAAAGACGAGCCTGTTACCCAGCAATATATGGAATGCAGACTTTTGTTTGCTAAACAAGGGAAACAAAAATAACAAAAATTTCAAGGATCAATTTTAATGCAAAGCAATGAAAACGCATTATTTCCAGCCAATAAATGCCTACTTTTATACTACTATCTAGCCATTTTGATTAAAATGCAAGGCCAGTGTCATGACATGTCACCTTTAACTAGTATGAAGTTTTCCTACTCCATGTTTATAGAATTCCAGAAGTTTGACTACAAAATTAAAAAAAAACCCCACCCAGAAAAATACCAGAGGCAATTAATAGGAAAAAACCCCTCATAAGATATACATAGGATTATTTCTCAGCCTTCTATTGATAATACAGGGAAAGCATGAGACATCAATTTAGCGACTCTAATGGCTTCCTGTAACAAAAGCACTTGGCTTTTAGCTTCCACATAATAAAGTCAAGCTAGGTCCAGATAGGCCAATGGAAGCTGCATCTCCATCAATGAAGATGGTACCAGATCAGGGGGTTTATGTGGGAGAAACTGCCAATTATAATGGAAATTAACAACTACCATTACACATTTAAGGGGCTAAAGTACAAAAGGTATGCTAGTAGGGGTATGTGGGCAGCTGGTATGTCTGGAAGGGGGTACACTATAAGAAAAAAGTTTGGAAACCCCTGTACTTGATCATATTGGGGCAGTACTCAATTACTGATGGTAACACTAGAAGTAGTCACCCTAGAGTAATTCAGCTGCCTAGTCAGACTCTACAGATCACCTCAGAAGTGCTGTACTGCAATACAAAAATATATCTAGAATGGTAAGGTAGATTACTTTAAATTAATGTTAAATAACACACTTATATTAAGGCTCATCATCATAACTAGTCAACATTAAACATGACTATCCCCATCAGCTGCAAGTACCAAGTCATTTATCATTAGAACACAAGCCTCATTTATAGTAATATGACAATTTCTCATCATGGAAAAGCTGAGTGCATATACCTATTCAAAGACTGGAACTGCAGATCAAGAAGGCTAACACAAGATGCTATGAGAACAATATCTGGAGAGGGTGTCCTTGGAAACGGTACTTACTTTTGAAAAATCTATTTAAAGTTAATGCAAAACAAAACATTTAGGCATTAATAGGCACTTAAACTGTCATTTTGACATCAAATCAGAAGCAGGCCTATTGGGTTTTACTATCAGACAACTCAATGATAGCTGAGACAGTCCTTAGCAAAACTTGCTCCACAAATGTTGCACTTTAGTACTATTTAACTTGAAAACTCTAAACATGTTAGAGGGCTCAACTTAAAATAACCAAACAAACAAAGACCCACTCACCAACTGGTCCTGATTGAGGGCTTCACCCTTCTTCAAGCGATCCTTGTAGTCTTCTAGCTTAAGCTAAAAAAGATTCAAAATCAGTTCTCATCTGTTTAAATACCAAAAACCAACCACACACACTTTACTGGAATACTTCATTCCTTTACTGTACATAACCTAGACTTAAAAAAGTCTGCAGCTAAATAGAATCTGAGTCCAATCCAACTCTTCACTGGAAAAAAAAAAAAAAGTGGCACAGTTCAACCCTGCCTATATTTAAGGTTTTGGTCCTACCTAACTCTCCATTTTGGCCTTCCAAGCATGCCATTTTTTTTTGCTGTAACTTTTTCATATACTTTTTTCTATAAGATAGCGCCCAACTCCTTTAACATAATTTCACTTGTTTAGCTTTCACCAGCTGTACTATGACTGCTGCCTTCCTCTTCCAGTTCTACCTTAGTTAAGAGAACTTCAAAAATACTGCTTATGAAAAGCAAGCTAATCTTATGCTGTCCTTTCTTATGCTTTATATTTAGTTTGATTAAGATGATAAATGCAGAAAAACTATTATTTCCAAAGTGCTAGACTACTGTTAAATATGCAAAAACTAGGTTTTATGATGTCCCTTATTAAGCAGCACAGTTTCACAACAGGGTGGATTATCATCATTTTAAAAAAAAGCAACAATTTTAAAATAAATCTGATTTATTTAAATCATTTTTTAAATTTCATTATATTTTGATTTTTGCCAAGATGCTTTTTTTAAAAAAAAGCACAGAAAAAAACCCCAAAACAAAACCTAACACAGATCGTTTTAATTTAAGATATGTTAAAGCTCAAAGATCTCATCATGGAATAGGAATTATAGCTTCTAAATATGTACTATTTGAGACAATATATTCATGTAACCTTTAGAAGTTTTATAGATAGGTCACAACAGGCCATGGACTATATTAGGGGCTCAGTCTTATAGAGGAACCTCTGGGAACCCCATAGATTAGTAAAGATTAAAGAAAACCACTCTACTCAATGGGACTCGTTGCCTACCCCTGTTCTAGACTAAGCACTGTTTTTTGGGTGGAATGCCAAAAACCCCACAAGGTCTACCTTGGAAGGTGCCAGCATGCCAGAAAAATAAGATGAGGGCAGGGAGCATGTGGCAGGATGTACTGCATATTTGGGCAACATTTATGATTATTAGCTATACTTTATGGTAAATACCAGATTTTCTAAACATTGTAAACCTGGTGACAATAAATAAAACTTCTGATACTACCTCTGATCTTGTGTATTTGTTTTGTGCAAGTCCCCACACAGCAGCCTCCCAGCCCTGCTCATGCCCCTTGGCCCCCACCCAAAGCCCCTGCCCCGCAACCGCCAGAGCTGCCAGAGCCACCAGGTCCACAGCTCTCTGCCTGCCTCCAACAGAAGGCAGTGGCTGCTGCAACAGGAGCAGCAGTGGGGGAGCCAGTTCCTGCTACCTGCTGTGGGCTTGGGCAGGGGGTGGAGATGGCTCCCAGCAGCAGCATGCACTCCTGGGGGGCAGGAGGGAACCTGCGCCCCCCCAGATCCAAGTGGGAGGCAGGGGCAGGATGGGTGCGCACTGCACATTCGTGCTCTCTCCCGTGCTGCCCCCTCCTGCCAGCTCTGCAGAGCAGCATGTGGAGCCCGGTTTAGTAGGGCACAGCAGTCTGCTGCTCTGATCTCCCCACTGCCCTGGCCATACTTCCCCTGAAGGCGGCGACAGCACTGCAGTGAGGGGCACAACCGTGCACTGCTGCCCCCGTGTGCACAGGGGAAGTGTGTCCAAGGCAGTGCAGAGCTTGCAGCAGCAGGCAGCTTCCCTGTGTGGCCCCTGCGTTCTGGAGGGCAGCAGGGCTGGGAGTGCAGCGTGTGCAACCCTGAGCAACAGCACAGAGGGGCTGCACAGGGAAGCTGCCTGCAGCTGCAAGCTCTGCGCTGCCTTGGTCACACCTCCCCTGTGTGCATGGGGGCAGAGAGGGCAACAGCAGTGTTGTACCCCTCACTGCTGGCCCCACCTGCAGGAGAAGTGTTGCCAGGGCAGCAGGGAGCTCTAAATGGCAGGGAGCTTTCGTACCCTGCCATACCAGGTTCCACACACTGCTCTGCATAAGCAGCAGGGGAGAGTAGCACATCAGGGAGCATTACCAGCACGTGCTGCCTTCCTGGTTCCTGGGGCTGGGTCTGGGAGGCAGCCAGGGCCAGGGCCAGTGCAGGAAAACAGCTGCTGTTTGCAGGCTCCCGGCTGCAGCCAGCCCAGGCTCTGGGTAGCTGCTGATAGCCCCGGAGCCTAAGCTGCTCCCAGCAGGAAGTTGAGAGGCCAGAAGCCCTGCTGCAAGCCACCCAGGACAGTCATGGTGCCCGGGGCTGCTTGCAGCCTCCCAACTGCCTGCTGGCAGCAGCCCAGGCTCCCAGCTGGCAGCAGCTGCCTAGAGGCCAGGCAGGTGGTGGTGTGCAGAGCAAAATGGACTCGTGTGCCATGCTCGGCACGCATGCTGGGGGTTGCCGACCCCTGGTCTAGAAGATCCCATTAAGCATCTAAGCATCACAGAGTTTCAGTCATCAAACTGTGGATTTGTGTCTCCAGAGATCACAGGTAGACAAGGTTCTTTGGGGAGATCTTTTATTAGACCAACTAAACAGTTGGAAAAATTGTTCTTTGCAAGCTTTTGGGCACAAATGCCCTTCTTCAGGCATAGGGGGAGTTTGTTGTCTCCAGAGGTAACATCCTTGTTAAAAGCAGTATAAGGAGATGAGAGATAACCCTGATTAGCTACCCATCAGCCCTACTGTCTCTCTGCAAGTTTGTGTATACTGAGTAAAGCCCTTCCCTCTCTCTAAAAGTGCAAAGTTTCAAGAAGTTAAATGAATAGAGCATTGTTGGGGGTGAAGTAGATCTGGGCAAGGAGGAGGAGTCTGGAGATAAATGCAAGGAGAGAGGGGCAGTAGAAACAAGAGAGAAACATTTTGAGCAGAATATTCCAGAAGTCTTAAGGAATAAGTTTCCGGGTATAGCCTCTCCATTGATTTGAGATCTAGTGAGAAAATGGTATGTTAGAAGGGAAAAGCCTAATCGTGGCAGCAGGCTTGCCACACCATAGAAAACGAGAAGTCTAGAAGAAATAAGAAAGCCCCAAGCTAACAACGTATGGCTGCAGCGCTCATTTGATGTCCTCCTAATACAGCGTGGCAAAAATCCCCCAAATATCCATAATTAATCTAGTGAATGATAGACTTCCCAATGACTTCACAAGTATCTGCTTCATTTAGCTTTGGTAAATAAAATAACCAGATCATAATTCAGTTCTCTTATGTGGCTGCAAGATTAATCTGAAAAAATACTAAAATAAACCACTTCTTTAAAATGTTTCAGGAAAGTCACTGCTTCTAAAAATGAATCCTACATCTCTCTCCGAGTTGTGAATAATGTATTACAGTTACATCAAAGAACAAGAATGCACTTTTTGTAGGAAGCCTTGATTTTAATCTCTGGTTTCTGACCAGTAATTTAAATAGATTTGATTTAAATCAAATTCACCCCGTTTCATGTTTTGCAGCACCTCCAAACTGACTTGTAAAAGTCAAGGAATTCACTATTGTAGTTTACAGTAATTAATACTGTTCCTTTTTCTGCATACATCCAAATAAGAGTCACTTGCATACCAATACTAGAAGCAGAGACCAAGAATACAGTCACCTTAAAACTATCATATTTACCGAGTAGGAAGCCATGCTGTTTCTACATAATCATAGGGTTTTAATGCATGGATGTAATGGAAGGAGAGCCATCAATATGCCAAGGTAACTCTCAACCTATGCCTGACTTGTTCAGATGGAATTAATGCATGTAGTGCAGAATCATTTAACCATTCAGCTCTACTGAAGAAAAGCCTCAAACAGGAAGCGCAGTAGACTGCAATTTGATGTCAGGAGATGTGCATACCCAGCATCTCCTATGCAAATGCAACTAGGCTTTAACCTTCCACATTCAGGGAACTATTCTCAGCTATATGGCCTGAGCTTTAATATATTCACTCCTCACACACCAGGAGAAATCAATAAAAAGAAAGCCTTGCCACACCTTTATGCTGTGCTCATCCTTATGCTGTCTGAAAACCTCAAACCAAACATGATTTAATCCTGTAACATCATAATTACAACACTAAGTCCATTTGAGTGATTTAATAAAAACCTAGATACGTCTATCAGCAGCAGTTCTTGCAGAGTACAAGAAGGAATCTTCATTCCTGC